TTTTAATATTCCAGCGCTCACACCAGGTCTCCATTGAGCTGAGACTGCGCTGGAGATTTCTGACAACAAAAACCTCCTTGCGATCTGTCGCACACAGTAAGGTGTCGTCTGCAAGGAGGACTAGATGAATGCTATGTGTTTGGGGGGCATAATTTATACATGTTATACAAAGTAGGGGACAGGACAGAACTTTGAGGCACCCTCTCTCGCTTTTCTTGGCGTAGACATTTCGCCTTCCACCGAAACCCTGAACTTGCGTTGTGAAAGAAAGGAGCTAATGAGCTTGATATAACTAGTCGAAAATTCCAATTTAGGTGAATTATAACAAGCCAGGATGCCATGTAGCAGCAAAGGCTTTTTTCGATGTGCAAGAACAACGAGACCGTATACATATATTTGCTTTTTGTGACTACGAATGAAATGAGACTCTCTTATAACTTCCAGGCAGCCCGAATATAGGTTACCACCTCGAACAGTTAATTGTCCTTCCGTTGTCATGGGAATATCTTTGTTAATATTCGTTGCAGCAGAAACGCGTGTTAGCGAACCGTTGCGTAGAAAATGACATTCCACGTCTGTTCGTTGCCATTCCGGCTTTCATGCAATGTTTACCTAGCAGTTGCCTAGCAAATGGTCATGCTGTTTATAATACTGTGATGTGTATACCCACTGCTAGGCAAGGACTCGGTAAAGACACTCCCGCGCGATCCGACGAGCGCTAGAATAGGACTATATTGCTCGGGAACGGCATAATAAACACTTTTAGTAAGTAATACAGGCTGTTTTCTGCGTGCTCCGTCCAAAGTGGTTATAGGAAGAGTTTTGCAATACAGCAGAGTGGTGGTTGTGTAGCTGGAAGTAAGGAGTCGAATTTCAGGCGCCAGCATGCCGGGGTATGAACCTGGGTGCAGAGGATTTGAATTGAGTCGAGTCCTCGGAGTTGGCAGCTACAGAATAATGACAAGAAGATTTCGTGTGTGATTTGAAGTTACTCGTATAGTGAGACTGTTGGTAGGATACGGCTAGTGAAACTGAGATCCCTAGCGCCAGCATGCCGGGGTATGAACCTGGGTGCAGAGGATTTGAATTGAGTCGAGTCCTCGGAGTTGGCAGCTACAGAATAATGACAAGAAGATTTCGTGTGTGATTTGAAGTTATAGTGAGACTGTTGGTAGGATACGGCTAGTGAAACTGAGATACCTAGGGTGTGTGGAACTGTGAACTGGAAAGTGTGTAGAACAGCGATAGCCCTGTATTGCCTGTAGTACGGAGTTTGAATATATAAGGTGTCAACAAATCCAATCATTGAAACCGAAACCCGTCTTATAAGTCACCCCTACACCTGACAATATATACATAGATTGTATGTTATATACTCTACCCATCCTCCTATCCACTTGTTACAGGGGGTGAAGCGGCCGGAGCGTGAATCTGACCACTCACCTCCAGCTAGTACCGAGGTCACGAAAATGTGGACCTATGCATCCACTTCCCCATACGTCTTCATGGCGTAGTGCTTAATTAGTTAAGCACAGGGACAACTTTATATAATCTAATATAAACTACAATCCTTTGTTACTATATTATACTCGTAAAGTGCAATGGGTTTCCTGAAAATGACTCACAGTGGTGCCGAAACATCTCTTCCAAGACAGCAAACACTACACGCTGGAAGTAGTGTCATGTAGTATGAAGATAATAAATATTATCTACAGAATATACGTACACATCAGGATGCAACAGGATATGAATAAGTAGTTACTATAGGATTCTGACGATGGTGTATAACACACTGATATGTTGGGATTTTGGACTTTATCCATCGTCCTGGTTTTTAAGATAACAAATAAAAACACGACGTTTCGGAAACTGGATCTGTTTCCGTCCTCAGGTGAAGGAAAACACCTATTCAGTTGGGTCCCTTAGAAAGAGCTAGCTCTTTCTAAGGGACCCAACTGAATAGGTGTTTTCCTTCACCTGAGGACGGAAACAGATCCAGTTTCCGAAACGTCGTGTTTTTATTTGTTATCTTAAAAACCAGGACGATGGATAAAGTCCAAAATCCCAACATATCAGGATATGAATAATTTTCTTAACTGAAGTGCCATTGCAGACCTGCTCTTTGAGATTTCTCTCAAGAATACAGTAAAATTCGCCAGTTTCAGTCTAAGAAATTTCATGTGAGGACGAACAGATTTGATTGCGTTTGTAAAAGTAGCCATCACTTCTTATAGTCCCAGAATGTGAGCGATGAGTAAGTATATCCTTTGTAGGAAATAATTCAAAACTTTTACGGAAAGTAATGAGAACCACACGATTTAAAGTGATGTGTGATTTACAGCGTTCCTCAACAAGGACATGCGCACAAGCCTATCCCTCTATTTGCTTCGAAACTCAACAATAATTCCAATTAGCAGTTGTCGGCTTCAGACGTCTGCTTCTATTATGTCTTAAGAGCGACCACTCCAATGTGAAGTTGCGTCGAAGGCGACTCTACAATATGAAGTAAATATTAGAGCTCGATCGATTTTCACATAATAATAATAATAAACCATATATTTTTCTCACACCGCGTCTGAGGTCCAGTGGTGAGGGTTCCTGAATACAACTCCAGAGGTCCGGGTTCGATTCCCGGCACTACCAGATTTTCTGAGAAGTTGTGGGTCTGGAACGGGGTCCACTCAGCCTCGTGAGGATAAATGAAGAGATATTTATGTATGAGAGTATGCAACTAACGTGTGGTATAAGCGACATTATTTGGTTCCGTTGCATGGCGTCTCTACAGCAGTGTTGCCACTATTAAAGTTCCAACCCTCCAATTTTCCACTGACAGGCCCCTTCTGTTATATACTCAGCTGTATTATAGCTTCTTAGTATATCCAATCTGCTACTACATATCAATTAATATCTCTTCTGAGAGAATGCAGGTAAAATTTGTCATTTTATAAGAAGAGAAATGGATTGATAGACGGGTCAGACAGAAAGTACCTGTCACATTTGCTCAAGTTGGCAGAAGATCCTTTGGCGTGTTTTACCCCCTTGAACACCTGAGGTGCTCCACGTCTCGCTGTCCTTCCGAAAGACTGTATCATTCTTCTTCACGTAGATCTGTACATCTGTGTTATCATGTCAGTCCATGTGTCCATGAACCATAAATTGGTCTGAACAATTGCGATACGAGAAAGAGTGACGAGTACATAGGAGTCCTGACTAAATATTTCTCGGATATATCAGCCATGTAAGAATTGATGCTTTCACGGCGGTGACTATGAAGAATGCAGCTGCTTTTACCGGTTATCACGGTCTCTTCGCTTGCAGATTTCTTATATTTTTTCTTCTACCCTGAAGATGGAGGCGATACGTTCCTCCGAAACGTCGGTTAACACCACATATACACGGTGCCAAATCCGAGAAGACTGCTTTCTTCAGTGTAAGTGCATGTTTCAAATACTGCATCCGCTTTCAAATAAATATCTGTACATTGTGAAGTCGAAGAGTATTAATTCTCAGATTATTGCAGTCAGCAGTCCCTTCACCCGCAGAAGTTGCCAATACACGAGAGAAATATTATTTTAGCTCTGAGGACATCTAGGCATTGTCGAATGTTCCTTGGTTTGCTGTCCAAATTAATCTGTAAGAGTTACTCAGTTTAAATATTCAGCTCAGACAGTTCATGGAAATACTATACAGTTAGGATCTGAAGTGTTCTAGGCAGCCCTCAATTATTAAATCTTCGGAAGAAAGTTAGTACAAAGACAGCAAATTGTGAATTGCTTCTCAGCTGGCGTACATATCCTTAGATTCTGTGGCATCGATTTTATGTCACCGTTATACAAAACACGCTTTGAAGTTCTATGCTTCTTGGTCCGCCTTTCCTTATATTTGGCGCTTCAGAATAAAGGTTCCACATGGCTTCCTAATAAGAGCTACATCGACGGATTCTCGACTCTGACACACATATACGCACGCACGCACGCACACATACTTTTATGTTACATTTAAAAGAACACAGAGAACATAAGTTCTCCACCTAATAATGAGCGCATTTCAAGTTTAAGTATTTATCAAAGACTGTAAGACAGAAGAACCAAAGGATTTATGACTTACAAACATCAGCCCATTTTATTCCCTTTCGTGTATATTGTTTCGATACTTCTGTAGCTCGGCATTCAACTAATTTGTTATTCAGCTGTTATGTTCGCTCTAACGTAACTGCAGCCGTAGGCTGAGTCAGTCAGAATTACTTTACTCCGAAAGTTAGTCCGTCCTGGAATTGCGACCATTTCGAGGATCACGGCCATATTGTCTTTTCTTTAGTTTTGCAGCCTACACCATTACACCATAGTTCTGTCCCTTATCAACGTCCTGGTCCTTGTCAAGTGTTCTGATTTCTAGAGATTTACAGTCACAGCACAATATAGAACAAGGATATTTACAAATATATTTTTGCACAGTATTCTCAAGGTCTGTGTGAGTATAGGGTTTGCAAAACAAATCATACATGTATCACTTAACTTATGTTGTAACGGCAGATTCGTGACTTCAAAGGCCGTACTTTTGACCTCTGTCAAAGTTTTAGTCCCTTAAGGGTTCAGATCCCTTCTCCTCAAATGTTATAATGACACGACTTTTGAGAAGCACAATTCTCTCCATATCACCCTAACAAAAAAGAAACAAATACACTGAGGCAGGGTAAATGTAGAGGCCGAAACGTCGGCCTTCTTCTACTCATCCACTTACTCTGGGATTTGACATTAATGATTGACGCAAAATTTTCAAATATATCTGTGCCATCTTGCATTAATGTTATGTTATTACGTTCCTTCAGTTTTGGAAAACTACGATTTTGTAGCCCATTCAAGTACATGTACATGTATAGCTGTTTCCTCCCTGATGAGAAAAATATACCTACCACTTCGTTGTTTATGGGTGCGTATAATTTAATATAGGAGCATTTATATTTTTACAAGTGAGACTAGTTGATTCATGATGCCAATGTTACGTTGGACGTTGTCCATTGACAATTATTTAAGAAATATACATTTGTACACACCAACATAGCAAATCTATCAGATACGGTAATATTTTGCAACTGTTCCAACTAACAATATAACTAAAATTACAAAATTACACTCTTATTTATATGTCACGATTTGTTTTGTTGCTCTTCCTTCTCGCATTCAATAAATGTTTAAATTTAAGATAGAAATACTCTTTTATGACCATATAAATATGTTCTTCACAAGAATTTCATTTTCATTTCACAAATCGGCACGCCAATTAAACAGATGTTGCGTTCATGTGAGACAGGGCAGATAAAGATGAAGACATAATAACATGATGACTATTATTAACTACTGAGGATGAAGTTCTGCAGGATTTAGTGTAATTGTTGTTGAAACTCCCACTGTTCTTATCAGTTCTCATTGTTGTAGCAGCCGACGCGGAGTTATGACGATACACAGTAGTGGCACTTGTGTGTCCTTTACCCTTCCCAATTTTGGACTGTGTAATGGGCATTCTGGTCATCAAAACACTACCGTTCTTTGCATTCATTCTGCAGCTAAAATTACTTTTCACACTAGCACTAAGTTCGTTATTGTACCTGAGGTGTTTGCAGCAGGAACGGCTTGTTATAATTGCTTTAAAACCAGTACGAAATTTTCTGTTAAAAAATGCATACAAAATTGGATTAACGCATGAATTTGAAGCACCAAGCCATTGTGCTATTGGCAACAACGCATGAATAATAGCTTCTTCGGTTTCAGAAGAAGGATGCCCTCCAAATTTTACCATTGTAAAAAGGACGTACAAGGGTAACCAGGACAAGGCGAAAGACACGACAACCACAAGCAGCATTTTGATGACTTTGACTTTGGAGCGATGAATCATCAGGTCGACGACGCCCCCGCGAGAATGTGGCTCTCCGGGCAGAGTCCTCCTGCACACCCGCCGCCAGATGAGGAGGTAGCACACCGAGATGAGGGTCAGTGGGAACAGGTAACACATCACGAGGTGTGCCACTACGAAATAGATGTTCCCACTCTCTGGAGTTGGCCACAACTCTGTGCAGATCTGTGAGCACACAAAATTCACGGCAAAGTATAATTTATGTCCAGAAGGAAAGAGACCCCTGGGAAGACCAAGGTGTAGGTGGGTGAACAATATTAAATGGATCTTAGATAGATAGGATGGGATGGTATGGATTGGATTGATCTGGCTCGGGATAGAGACAAGTGGAAGGCTCTTGTGCAACACAGTTTTGAACTTTCGGGTTCCATAAAACGCTCGGAAATTCTTCAGTAGCTGCAGAATTGGCGGCTCCTCAAAAAGGGCTCAGTTCCATGAGTAACTTAGGTAAGTAAAGAATAATTTATTTAACTATTTCTGGATGATGGATATTAAGAATATAACCGACGAATGAGATAAAATGAATATTCATATCACTGTGCACTAGGTTGTATTTTAGCGACCTGTTGCACTGATTCATTTTCATAATGTGTATATATTAACAGTCTTCAAGTGCACACAATCCCATTTACAACTTCTACACTACATGTTTCGGCAGTATTCTGCCATCTTCAGGTGTATCGATCCGTCAACCATTTCACTGCTTGCCTTTATACGTCCATTTACAAATAATATTAAATTTATATTCGTCCTTATATAATAATAAAGTTTATGTATTTAAAACTTGTTAAATAAAATCTGTTATCTCATACGTCATATGTTTAAATTCGTGTGTATTATTGATCATCCACATGGGGGTCGTTCTTCTTATGTTTCTAATGTTCTGTGTATATTGTGTCTTGTGTTATGTTCTACTCTTGTGGCTGCGTGGGTGCGTGCGATACAACGCACGCAGCTACGTACCTGTATCTCATAAGACAGTGTATTGGAGGCGTCGTGTTTGAATATCGGATCGAGAACCTGACCTACGGACAAATATCCGGGAGATACTTTAAGCAGGCCACGACCGTTTTCGTTCTCTAATAATGTCAGCGAACAAAATAAAGAATTTTGTTGAATATTTCAGCGATAGTGAAGATTAAATTAGCAGTAGAACAGTACTGACCTTGAAGAATGTCTCTAAAGTGACGAGTACGTTTACTTTCAATATATTATTATTATCATCATCATCATCATCATGAAAACTGCATAATGAGGAGCTTCATAATTTGTACTCTTCGCCAAGTATAATTAGAATGCTCAAGTCAAGGAGGATTAGATAGGCAGGGCATGTAGCACGAATGAGGAATTAGAGGAATGCATATAAGATATTAGTGGGAAAGCCAGAAGGAAAGAGACCACTGGGAAGACCAAGACATAGGTGGCTGAACAATATTAAAATGGATCTTGATTGATTGATCTGGCTCATGATAAGGACCAGTAGAGGGCTCTTGTGAATATGGCAATGAATTTTCGGGTTCCATAAAATGCTGGGAAGTTCTTGAGTAGGTGCACAATTTGCAGTTTCTCAAGAAGGGCTCAGCTCCATGAGTGAGTGAGTGAGTGACTATTATCATCATTATAATTATGACACTTTGGAGAAAATAAGCCTATATTCTCTACGTAAAGGAGATATAACTTTGACGCAATTTTCTCTGTTCATGTTTATCGTGGCCTCATTTCCTGTCCTTCCCTGTTGTAAAATGTTAGTCCTCGTGTCCTCACTTTGTATGTAGGAGATTTCTCTGTGTTCAGTGTTTGTACCTCAGTTAAACATCACCTTGTTCTCTGCGCGCCATGCTGTGTAAACACACCGATGTGTTGCAACTCAAACCAGTGTCTCTCAGATATATTTTATAATAAATGGTATCGGTTTTTACAAAGCGAACTTATTATTTCTTTTGTCCCTTCCTGTTTTTAATGTGTTATGTTACCTAACGTAGGGATAAATTGTAGCATTTAACTACATGTGTGGGTGTATTTGCCCAACAAGTTAGTACACATAATTTTGTTTGTCTGAGATGTAATTACCAGGATCTACACTATGCTCTGTCTCTATAATTGGCCTTGTAGCTGTTGACTCGGCACATAAATAATAAAGAAATGAATTAAATTGAGTTGTTATTCCTTCTAGCACGAATGGTGGAGTAGCATGGATGTCTGTGCGCGCTTATGCTATGTTTGTATTGTACTGTGTGTACTGTGTGTAGCGGCCTTGAGACTGACTTATTCCTTGTCCAAGGCGTCCTACCGACTGTGCAGAAGATTCAGGATGTGAAAAAGTGATCAAGGTCCAGCAAATGGCTCTAGAGCCATAGACAGATAGGTAATAGTTTCAACGAGTTTTAAACTGCATAATCGCGCAGGTGCGTACAGACAAATTTGCAATTCTTCCCTTCAGCACGAGAACATGTAAACCCACCTGGATATCGCTTCCGTCTTCAAGAGGATGCAGTCGGAAGAAGATGGCCCAGGGTAAAGTAATGATGAGTGAAAATGCCCAGATAATTAAGAGCACCAGCCGACATGCTCGTGACGTCATCTGCCACTTGAGTGGATAACAAATGGCGAGACATCGCTCCACGGAGATAGCAACGAGGGTGTTGATCGAGGCACTGACCGACACCCCTTGAAGATATGGTACCGTCTTGCAGATCACCCATCCCATGATCCAGGCTGCAAACAAAGCACCAGATTTTCTAATTATATATATAATCAGGCGCTATGTCGTGAAGGGATGTTGGGGAGTAGAGGTATAACTCCGCCATTGTTGATCTCGACACTAAATGAAGGTGAGTGGTCAACTGCACGCCTGTGCCGTGTTACCCTCTGAGGTAGATACTCCGGTAGCAACTGGAGAGGAGGTGGAGGGCCCATAGCCGATCTGGACATTATGGAGAATATATAAATATCTTTGTCCTGATGGGAATCGAACCCCGGTAGTCCAGGACCAAATTTTCTGCAGTAAAATTTTTGTGGATGTTTCGAACTCCTCTTCGGTCAAGTCGGGCTGACGGATAACTCGTTAACTTCTCTTCTCGAAGGATCGCTATATTTACAATTGTTTCAGATGAAGGTATATTACAGTAAGTTTTAATTTGTGAAGACCATCCGTCATGTTAATATGTTACGTAAAACACTCTTCAGTAAGTAGATTTGTATCCGTCATTGACAGTGCCTGAAAATTCATAATATAATTAGAGGAGTGTGCCAGGGAGACGCTGAGATTATGTACCTCTCCTATTAGGTTCTCTCTGGTTAGCATCCCCACTATGAGTAGGTTCTCTTTGTTAGCATCCCCACTACGAATAGGTTCTATCTGGGTAGCGTCCCCACTATGAATAGGTTCTCTCTTATTAGCATCTCCACTATGAATAGGTTCTCTGTGAGTAGCGTCCCCACTATGAATAGGTTCTCTCTTATTAGCATCTCCAATATGAAGAGGTTCTCTGTGGTTAGGAATACGTTCTCTGTGGGTAGCGTCCCCACTATGAATAGGTTCTCTCTGGTTAGCATCTCCACTATGAAGAGGTTCTCTGTGGTTAGGATCCCTACTATGAATAGGTTCTCTCTGGTTAGCATCTCCACTATGAATAGGTTCTCTGTGGTTAGGATCCCTACTATGAATACGTTCTCTGTGGGTAGCGTCCCCACTATGAGTAGGTTCTCTTTGTTAGCATCCCCGCTATGAACACGCCTGGTGACGGAACATTCAGTTTATAAAAGGACACAGGATTGTGGACAATGTTAAAAGAATTAAAACGCTTAACGCAATTTTCTTCTAACACACGATGCCAAATACGGCAATTCTCAGTGGTGTATGTGCAGAACCACTGCGTACCTCACTCGGGGCCCCAGAAACGTGTCGATTAACTGCATTTGTTTCATTTGGGCCCTCATTCACTTCAAGACCCTCTTTTTTAAATTATGCTAGCATTGCATTGTTCTTTTATGGTACTCATTCTTCATTCACTCTTTCTAAATCATAAAACCTGATTAGAGCAAACACTAATCAAATGATGCAGATGGCAGGAACACGTAGCGCACATTCGGATAAGAGAAATGCGTGCAAAATATTAGTGAGAATACCCGGAGCGGGGAGTTCCCTGATCAGCAGAGAGAGTATTTCTCTGTTTCTCAAAAAGAATTAATTTATCGCCTTCTGTTTACTTAACGGCGTTACCAGTAACTTGCCCCGTACAGCGCTAAGTAGTAGAGTGAATCATCATAATCAACTGGATTGGATGTGGAAGGAAACAGTGGTGATGTAATTTAAATCATCATCTCGGCATTCTTCTGTAGACATTGAGGAAAACTGCGAAAATTTTCAGTTAAACTAGCCGATTTCCGGGCCGAGTTAGAATACAGGACGTTCCGAATATGGAGCAGCAAATCTAGTTATTTCCTTCTTCATATGAGTAAAATTGGGCAAATATTAATTTTTCAGACGTCCTATATGTATAAAGAGTAAACACGTGGAAAACCCATCTAAACAGATCAAAAACCTTCACTCGAATTTTTTAATCCTGAGCTCCCTAAGATATTTCTGTAGATTTATTAATACAACCTGAATTTTGATCTTAAAGTAGACAGGTAGATAATTCCATTTATATTTATCTCCTTATAATACAATAATTCAGTATCATGAATTATAGAAGTTTAAGAATTCTGTCTTCTGACATTAAGAGCCGTGTAGACCCTTCAGAGCTCATCGATGTTCCAGGGAAGACTTCGCCTTCATCTTCAGGGTTGAAGAATACGCCAAGAAAGAACCCACCATGAACCTCTCGGCGTGGTATCCCAGAAGACAGAAGTCTCAGAACCACATCTGTGAGCACCTCGAATCACATGGCCAGTGAATTTAGTTACAATGAATTTCTGGATACATTGAATGGTTTTTAACAATGTGACATATTGAATGGTAAAACACATATATGTGATGTTAAGACCTTACGTGATTGCATGGAACAGAATCATTTTTGAGAAGTTGGTAGTCGCCCAATTAGTCACGAAATTTTTCACATTTTATGGAACCTAAAAGCCCATTATGTTATAAACAAGATATCGGCATTTCATTTAAGTCAATATTATCAAACTCCATTTTTATAACATCTGTTGTAAAATGTTCCTAACTATGTCTCGTTCTTCAATGTACGCTCTTTCCTTTAGGATATCGTGGTAACACTGTGCATGCATTTGTTCTCTCTCACAAACGTGGGTATCTCTTTCTCAACACATCCTCCTTGACTTGCTTCAATGTTATTTGGTAAATGTTACAGAGTATGAAGCACCTAATCACGTAATTTTCCCAATCCTCTCATCCTATCCTCTTTCTTTCTCCTAAAAATCCTCCTCAGCAACTTGTTCAAGGATATATTAGTACATAAAGTTTCGGGAAGATATCTCCTTCCTATTTTCCTTGAAATATCTCAGTCTGCGGAGAGAAAGAACCGGAAATAGGGAATTAATAGATTTGTGCGTTCTAAAATATGTACGGCTGTGTAAATATACCGCGAAAGTAATTTTCCTCATTCTGAAAAGTGTCACATAGTTTCATAATTGACACCCTCATAATTAGTAAATATCTCACTCACTCTCACTCACTCACTCATGGAGCTGAGCCTTTCTTGAGAAGCAGCCGATTGTACAGCTACTCAAGAATTTCCCAACATTTTATGGAAGCAGAAGGCTCATTACAGTGTTCACAAAAGCCCTCCACCGGTCCATATCCTGAGACAGATCAATNTATACACGGTGCCAAATCCCAGAAGACTGCTTTCTTCAATAAAATCTATACCATACTTTCCTATTTCCCTAAAATCCATTTTAATATTGTACACCCACTTACATCTTGGTCTTCCCAGTGGTCTTTTCACTTTTGGCTTTCCCACCAATATCCTATAGGCATTCCTCTTCGCACCATTCGTGCTACATGCCCTGCCCACCTCATCCTCCTTGACTTGATCATTCTCATTATACTTGGAGAAGAATACAAGTTATGAACTTCCTCATTATGCAGTTCTCTCCAACCTCCCGTCACTTCATCCCTCTTCGGTCCAAATATTCTCCTCAATATTCCGTCCTCAAACATCCTCAGTCTACGTTTCTCCCTTAATGTTAGAGGTCAAGTTCCACACCCATACAGAACCACAGGCAAAATTGTAGTTTTGTATATTCTAATTTTTATGCATTTAGACAGTAGACGATAAAACAAAAAGTTTCTGAACTTAATGGTAGCAAGCATTACTCACCTTATATGATTCACATAAACTTTGTATATATATTTATGATATTCATGACATCAAATTTCGCAAACTTTTAAATACAAATACAAATAAATATAATGTTCTTTGGTCTTGATGTTATTTTAAATTATACTGGTTAATCGGTTGATTGTTGATTGGTTAGTTTCTGCGAATGAAAACGTTTGTCCGGAAAAGGTAATTTCACTGAACAAAATTTAATCAAACTCACATGACAGAAAGCGAAGAGCCACGTGGTGGCTAATAGCTTGGAGCGCCTGCAAATGAGCTCATCGCTAAACGATATAAGCACGTGACAGTGTGACGCCAAAGAGCCTGCTGTTCACCTTCCAGAACTTATTAAACTGAGTAGTAACTTTGGGTCTGGGTAATTAGTTTCGTGTGGTTGGTATAACATTCACAACAGGTCAACAGTTTCGGCTCTTTTTAAACTCGCTGTTTTCTTGCTGTTATGAAGCGGTTTACCCCACTGACTGAATTTTAATTGGTCTCTGTCAAATCGCCAGAATAAGATAGAAATTGGGATATTCAAATGAAATATAAGCATCGTAAAAGAGAACATCATAAAAAGATAACCACAAATCTTTATAATAGCCCGAGCCGCTGTAGCTTTTAATACACGAGTAAGTAGCCATGTCCATCAAGCGAAACACGTTGAATGTGAGACTACGAAACTTCACCATTACAAATTTCGGTCATTACTGGTCATGGTCATGTTCAGAAATACTTCACATTTATGACGAACGTACAGGGGATGGACAAAAATATGGAAACACCTCGTGAAATGCATGCCTGAATTGAAGTGTTTATTTTAGAGACGTTTGTAGGTCACGCTCTTGTATCTGCCCAACGCCACTACCTGTACAACCTCCGAAATACGTTGCAAGCTTCATTTGTTGTCGAGACAGTGTTCTGTGCAGTTTTTTGTGCATCACGTCAGAGCTAACAGAATTCGAACACGGGCAAATTGTTGGGGCCCATATGGTGGGTGCTTCCGTAACCAAGGTACCCGAGGTTTTTGGTGTTTCGCGAGGCACAGTATCCAAGATTATGACCGCATACAGGAGGACTGAAAAACCCGCATCCGATAAACACCAGCGTGGACGGAAATGTGTGTTGAGTGATTGAGACAGACGAACATTGCGTAGGATTGTGACGAAAAATAAGAAGACTACAGCTGCAAAAGTGACTGCTGAACTGAATGTCACACTCACAAACCCTGTCAGCACCAAAACAGTACGAAGGGAACTCTACAAGCAGGGTATTTCTGGACGAGCTGCAATTCCAAAGCCACTCATCAGTGATCAAAATGCCACTAAGAGGACAGTGTGGTGCCGAAGTCATAAAACCTGGACTATGGAGCAATGGAAGACGGTCATTTGGTAGGATGAGTCCACCTTCATACTGTTTCCG